TGAGACACTCTGTGTATGAGAATCGCCTGCGAGTTGTCTGTATCGCGTGCACTGTGAGGATCGTTCCGTCGGTGTACGTGCTCAGTCCAAGGTCTGTCCGGCAAAATTCTGGCATTGCTGAGCCCATCTGCAGTGAGAAAACTAGAAAAAAGAACATTTCCAACGTCTTCTTCACTGGCCAGCGTCACACGAAGTAACCTGGGTTCTCCGATATGTGATGATGTCGGTTGGTGCCAGAGACGTGTGAGGCTCACCGGTTTTGCTTCTACACCCAATCGGGCACATACCTCTGTCCAGCGACTCAGCTCATCCTGTTGCCTCTCCCTCAATGATTGACTTGCGGGTTCTGGGAGAGAACCTGAGTTGAGCAGCTGGGAATGTACGGTCTAGAACTGACCTCAACTTCTGGAGCACATCATTATAAATGTTATCACCTTTGAAAGCAAGCTTGATGTAGATGGCCTTTTTACTGATGTTTTGGGATGGGTTACCTTTTGGAAATGGTCTATTGTGAATATCTATAAACCTTTCTAGGTAACCATTGTTCAGAAATGTTCTCCTTAAGAAATCTTCTTATGCCTTCAGGGTATCTTGCCCGATGAAATGGGGTTCTCACAAGCCCACGTTTGTAAGTCAGAGTCAAAGTCAAAGTTTTATTATGGGAATAGCTTACAAGTTGGTGCTTCTCTTGTTCCATAGGATGTTTACACAGATAAATCGTTACACATCGAAAAAGGAGTCACATAGAGATCCGGGTAGGAGATAGAGAATGTAGGCTACAGTGAATTTCCGTTTGCCTTTNNNTTTGCCTTTAGTGTACGAATGTGAGGTGTGCCAAGATTTTGTCGAGTCTCTGCCTGAAAGATTCAATAGTGGATGCACAAACGACATGAGATGGAAGGGTGTTCCAAGATTTGCATACTCTGACAGCAAAAGATTGGCGCCGGCAATCCAGTCGACACTTTGGAATCAGTAGTTTGAAACGGTGTCCCCTTAGGTGTACATTGTTCTATAACAAACACGGATGGTTTGGGTTCTTCAGTATTTGGTACGTCAAAATCAAGTCTCCTCGAGTTCGGTGGTACTGAGCAGAATATAGTCCCAATAATCGCAATCTGTCTTCATATGACAGGTATTGGAATCCCTTGACCATCTTGGTGACCATCTTTTGTGGACGCTCAAGCATCTTACGATCACGTTGAAGCCATGGACTCCAAGCTTGGATGACGTACTCTGTATAGGGTCGAATGTACGCTGATAGCAAACGGAATGGAATAGTAATGATTCAAACCGGCCAAAGACTCGCCGAAGTAAGCCGACATTCTTCATAGCAGCAGACGAAGCCTCAGCACAGTTGTTGGAGCAGCTTAAAT